TCCCTCTGCATTGTGGACTCACAGCATGTACCCCTCAGCATAGTTTGGAGAGGTGAACAAAATGAATACCACGTGGAAAGCTGTGAACTCCACAAGGTTCATTTGCAGAATTCCTTTGCGATACAGCCTGAAGCTCACCATGTCTGTAAGGCCCTCTGCTGTCCACTGTGCCCTATGGAGTGTTGCAGCTTCCTCTTTGAAGGTGCCAGGCCTCAGCCCACAGGTCATGCTTTCCTGTGCCAACACACCTATCACCTGTTGTATGCAAAGGGCCAGGGTGGGCTCCCTGACACCAAGACCTTAATAGTCTGTAAAGAAAATCAGGACCTGGTGCAGTGCCTCACACCTATAATCCCAGATCTTTGGGAAGCCGAGGCAGGAGGATTCTTGAGCTCAGGCGTTCAAGACCAGCCTGGACAACATAACAAGACTCTGTTTCTACCCCCCCAAAAAAATGTTTTTTAAGTTAGCTAGGTATGGTGGTTCACACCTGTAGTCATGGCACCTTGGGAGGCTGAGGTGGGAGGATTGCTTGAGGCTAAGAGTTTGAGACTACGGTTAGCCAAGATTGTGTCAAGCCTGAACAACAGAATGAGACTCCATCTCTAAAAAAAGAAAGTAAGTCAGGCCTGTAAAATTGTATAAAAGTGGCAATTGTGCTTAATGCCACAGAACTGTACACTTAAAAATAGTTAAAGGGATAATGTTACATATATTTAACCACAATAAAAAATGTATATATGTAGGAAAAGGCATAGAAGGATTTACACCAAACTATTCCCAGTGGTTATTTTTGTATAAAGAAATACGATTCTCCATTGGTAGAAAAAAATTTAACAGTGAATACTATATTTTTGTAGCACTTATCATGCAGTTTCCTTTTCTGACAGTTACTATTTTTTTTCACTTCTGGAAGTTAAGCAAGACTCAACGGGTATTTTGTCTATACCACCTAGAAAACTGCAGTGGTAAAACTATGCATTAGTTGAGCTTAGGACTCAAAATTAGTACACTAGAAGAAAATAGATATTTCAAATGTAAATGAAAATACTTTTAACAAGTCAGGTGTGAGCAAAAGTACCATCGAGACATGGAAGACTGCATGCTGGATCCAAAGATGGGGAGATTTCAGTGGAGCCCTGAAGGACTCCAGTGATCCCAGGAGGCAGGATGGAAGGAGGGAGCCAGGTGTACTGTGGCCTAGGTGCAGGGAGAGGCAGCACTGGCTCAGGGCAAGGAGGGAAGGGTTGTCCTGGGTGGTAGGCGCAGAGATGAAAGGAGGGACCACGAGAAAACCACACCAGGGTGACCAGCAAGGGATCAGCTGGGGCGGGAAGGAGTCAGAACAACTCCCAGGAGCCATAGCAGTTAAGGGTCAGGTTCCCCAGCGTGAGCCCCACCCAAGGATTTAGGCAGGGTCCTTACCCTGTGCTGCAGCCTGCTCTGTGAAGCATAGATGACACAACAAGGCTGTCGGGAGGCTATGAGGGGAAGCACAGGAAGGGTGCCAGGGCACTAGCAGATGTTAGCTGGCGGCACCACTATTCCCACCCTGTAGCTGCCCCTGATGAGAAGCAGAGGGGGGCCTTGATCCAGAAGGAACCTGCCTCCTTTCACATTTGGCCAGACTGGTAGAAGTAGGTGGCACTGGGGGTTGGGAGCCCAGTGTCCCTCCCATTCCATTGGCAACTTGCACAGACTCTTGCAATGTTCCTCCTGCTCTGAGCCAGTTGGGGCAACCCTGTACTTTCCCAGCCACCTCTGGTGCTTTCCCAGCTCTGCCAGAGCGCAGGGCCACTGCATGGTTGGGCACTCTCAGGACTGACTCTGGACCCCCTTGTGTTAGGATTCATTCCTCTTGCCATCTGTGTCCCTTTCTCTCTCATGTCTAGATGCCAAATATCAGATCTGTCAGTGTATTGGGAAAAGAAAGGAAATTATTTGTTCTTTAGCCCTGCAGGCCCCAAGGAGGGAAAGCCATGGTCTGGTTGCTCCTCGCCTCTTATCTCAGGTGGGTGATTGGTCGCAAGTATGCTTAGTCCCCAGCAAGTGGGTAGGCTCTGGGCACTCTGCCTTTCTTCAAGAGCAGGCCTTGGCACAGGCCCTGAGAATGAGCCAGATTGTCCCCTCTGCAGGCACAGGCAGAATCTCACACACTAGCTTTGTCAGCGCCCAGGCCCCCTTAGCATGACCTCCATTGGGGTGGGCACAAGGCACACAGTGGGGTCACGGCACATTGGGGTGGGTAGTGCTGCAGTGCAAAAAGGAGAAGCCACACGTCCCGAGGAAAATAGGCAGACTGGGGAGGGACTCCAGGCATGAGAAAGAGCACGCCGAGGCTGGGAGGTGAGAAGGAGTCCCCTGCATTCCAACATGTCAGCAGATGTCATCAGCAAATGGGAACAAAGGAAGAGGGTGAAGAGGGTCTTGATTCTGTCCTTGAGGGTGAGGCTTCCTGCTGTGGGCCGTGGTTTCTCTGTGTGTCCTGGGGCTGAGCATGCTGGCCTTCCATTCGGTTCCTGATCATATATAAATTCACAGGCACACATTTTAGTGCCTCCCGATCACCTAGAATCACCAGGGAGCCAGACCAAGGTCCTGGTGCTAGCGGTTGCTTGGGGACAGCTCTGCACCATTTACCCTTCTCTCCCAGAAGCACCAGGGGCTGGAGCACTTAACAGACCGAGGAGGAGGACTCAGCCTCTCTGCTCCAGAACACCCCAGCTTGCTGGGAAATTCATACTGCTTTCTAGTTTCTCTGCTCTGCATTGCTGTGCTCTGCTGGGCTGGGCTCAAGCCCTGCCTCCTCCAGATGGCCCTCCTTGATCCTCCTGGCCTCTCCTATCCGGGATCCAGCCCTGCCCATTTCTCCACCTCACAGTCTTCCCTCTGCAGTTCTAATGCCAGTGTCCCTCCTGCTCTCATCTGATTTTTCATTCCTTGTTTTCCATTCTTTGTCTTTTGCCTGTTGGCTCTTTGTCACCCAGGCTGCATTTTATTTACTTCTCCTTGTGAGGGAATGGGAAGGATAACAAGAAATTGAAATCTGCCCCAGAACCTTCCATAACAAACACCTCTCTTTCTATATTATTAAATACTTCTGTGTATCTACTTGAAATAATTGACATTTGATTTCTGCCTCCGGAGGGAGAAAGGCTTTGTTTTTCTAGTGCGCCACCCCTCATCCCTGTATTCCAAATCCTCTGCTGATTAGACTTTTAACCTGGCACCAAGACCCTAGCTCCCTCCCCACACCCTGCTCCCTTTTTGTTTTTTATCTTCATGCTTCCAGATGGCTTCTTCCAAGTTAGTAATTCTTGATAAAGACACACTTTTGTGGGCTATAAGCACCTTTATCTCTCCTTAGTTTCCACTCTTGGTTTTTCCCCTTCAGACTGTGCCGCAGCTGCCCTGTTGGCTAATTCAAAGGCACAGTCTGTAGACATTCTAAGATGAGTGATTCTGGAAGATTCTCCCTGTGATTCTGGAGGATTCTCCCAGGGATTCTGTTGGTTCTCTCTGTTCAGGCATCAGAACCTGGAAGACTTCGGGAAGGGGATTGGCTATGAAACTGCTCCCCAAATCTTCCCTCTTAAACTTGGGGTGCTTCTCAGACTCTTACGTCAGTTTGTTTCTGGAGAGGAACTTTATTTATTACCCCAGGTGGTTGAACTGTGGGACTCATTCCTGAAGAAAGCTTTCCAGACTGGGTGTTAGATGAAGCCCCCCCATGGGAGGGTGGGAGGAGTAGACACAGCTGAGAAGGGAGCTGGGAGGTGGAGAGATGGTGGGGGGAGAAGGACCTGTGCTGAGCAGTGCTAGACCGGGGGTCCCTGTCCATGTGGTAGGAAGTGGGCCTGGAGGTGAACACCCTGGGTGATGGAAGGAAGGTGTTCCAGGGCTGTTTGGGTCTGGAGGACTGTAAGCGAGAATCCAAGTGGACCCTAGTATCTGACAGTGGGGACAGACTAGGGGAGGGAGGAGAGGGGACAGGACCAGGCTATAGAGACCAGGTGTGAATTCAGAGAAGGTTGGCAGTTCTGAGCTGAAGCCCACCCTGGGGAGGAGGAGAGGAACAGGATGGGTGATGACAGGTTCCAGCTTCAGAGTTCCCCCAGGCCCCATCTTCTGTCCTGAGACCTTAAGTGGGAGGCTATCTTTCTCCAGGCCTTGTTATTTGCATATGTGAAATGGGGGCTCATCCTGGCTCCTGGAGGTTCAGGAGCAACACGCAGGGCCTGGAAGCTGGTCAGACCCCAGTATCCCTAAGGACTCTGAAAAGAAGAGCCCACATACTCGCCTTTGGGGTCAGTGGCCTAGGACTATTTATACACCAGTCCTCTAGCCAGGGCTTAGCAACCCGAGCTGTTCTAAGCTGGCAACTTTCTCCTCCTATTAGAGAACATCTGATGATCTTGACTGCATCCCAGGTGCCTCCTGTCTGTCCCAGGCTAGCCCTGTACCTCCCTCCTGGCTACCCCTCTGACGGCCCTATGGCCTCTGGGGAACCCTTCCTGCCCCCTGCATCTGTCTCCAAAACAGGCCTGGATTGGCCTCTCCTGTGTGTTGGCCTTTCTCTTCCCTGCCCCAACCCACTTCGGTAGTCCCAGCAGGTATCCCTTTTCCCATCTGGTCACTACATCTAGTCTCACAGGCCTGTGGCATCACCCCTCACCTCAAACCCCTGCCTCAATGGCCTTGCCTCAGCATCCCTGTCCTGCCCACCTCTGGCCACAGAAGCCTCCCTCAGCCAGGAACACATCTTCCCTCCTGTTGCTTCTCTGAGAAATCCACACAGCTTCTCCCAGCACCATCTCCTAAGGCTGCATCTCTAGGCACTTGCATATTCCCACTTGGACCTGTGTCAGGTCACCAGCTAGGATTGTTGGTTCACTTATTTGTGACTCTAAACTGCCCGGGGAAAGGACACCTGCCTTCTACATTGCTGGGCCCCTGTCGCCCCGTGGTTTTATTGACCCCTACTTCTCTCCCCAGGGTGAAGACTGGAGACCTTCTCGTCCCGGCCCAGCTGCAAGACCCCCGGGATGCTCTGGGCATGGCCTCTGGAGCCCTACAGAAGAGCAGCCCGATGGCTTGTGATGCAACAGAGACCTTGGGCTTCCTAGACACGCTCCTGCGAGACTTCCCAGCCCCGCTGGGCCCAGAGAGCCCTTTGCCATGGAAGGCCCCGGGGACCATGCTCAGCCAGGACGAGGTGGAAGCCGAGCTGACCGAGCTGGCCATGGGTTTCCTGAGCAGCAGGTAGGCCTGTCCGCCTCAGAAAGTCAGGAGCAAGGGCGTGATGTGTGGCCAGGGCAGACCTCAGCTGTGGTTGCTTATCCCCAGATGCCTACAGCCCCATCCAGATCCCCATCTAGCCCCAGGAGAGTGCTGTGTAACTCTCCTGAGGCTGCTGTAACAAAGTGCCACAAACTAGCCACTTAGAACAACAGAAATGTGTTCTGTCACAGTTCTGGAGGCCAGGAGTCCTACCTCAAGCTGTCAGCAGTGCCTTGCCCTCTCAAAGGCTATAGGGGAGAATCTGTTCCAGGACTTTCTCTTAGCATCTGGCGTCAACTTCCTAGTGTCCCTTGGCTTGTGGATTTGTCCCTGCAATCCCACCTTCATGGTCACTTGGCACCTCCATGTGTGTCTTCATCTTCAGACATCTTCTCCCCTCCTGTGTCTGTGTCCCTCCTCTTGTAAAGACCCCAGGCTTCCCTGCTGTAGTATGACCACCCTGTTGTAACTCATTCATGATCGCTGACATTAATTTATGTCATTCCAAATTCTGTTCCTGGTTGCCGCTGATGTGAATTTACATCTTTGCAAATTCTGTTTCTGATTGCCACAGCGTAATCATATGTATGTGTTATTATATTTTGCTTGAAAAAGAATAGTGAGGCAAGGAGAGAGAAAGTTAATTGAGATAATTATCTGACATTGACTGCTCAATGTTGTTATTGATTTGCATAGTTGGCAAAAATTGCAAGTTAGTCATTATTTTGTAGCGATTAGTGTTGTATATTTGTATTTTGGTAGTTCAAGTCTTTCATACTTCAATGTTAAAAATAATTTACCAGCCGGGCTCGGTGGCTCAGCCTGTAATCCTGCGCCTTTGGGAGGCTGAGGTGAGTGGATTGCCTGAGCCCGCGGGTTCGAGACCTGCCTGGGCAGCAAGACTTCATCTCCACAATAAATCCAAAAATCAGCCGGGCATGGTAGCACATGCCTGTAATTCCAGCTACTTGGAAGGCTGAGGCGGATGGATCGCCTGAGCCCAGCAGGTCCAGGCTGCGGTGGCCGGAAGCAGCCACTGCACTCCAGTCTGGGTGACAGAGTGAGACTCCAACTCAAAAAAATAAAATAAAATAAAATAAATAATTTACCATAATTACAGAAAATGAAGAAATATATGCTGATGAGATTTCCAAGGTTGAAGGTGAATCCAGTGAACTTATTAGTGATAGTGAGACAGATAGTGAGGTAATGATGCAATGTAAACAAACAAAATATATGTGTGTGTGTGTGTGTATATATATATTTAGGTTTATAATCCAAATAAAAATACAAAGTACAGAATGCTAGTCCAAGTGGTATCTGAGGCAAATACTGGATATGTCTGCAACTTTTTCTAAAGTTGACAATTTAGAAAAGACCATTTCACTGGTGCTTAACGACAGAAGTTTATGACAACCAGCTTAAGATTTTTTTTTATTTTCACCCATTTTCAGTATTAGGAAAGTGAAAAATTTGCCCCTTGCGAATGTGTTAACGAATTACATTTTCAGAGACTGTATTTCCAAATAAGGTCACACTCCAAACCACTGGAAGTTAGGACTTCAACATATCTTGGCAGAGGGCACACGACACAATTTAATGCTTAACAAGCACTAAGTGATAAGTCCCGTTTCTGTTCTGTGGGACAGACGAGCAGACAGAAGTCAATGGGCTAAGAAACTGACTGAAGCCTCATGGTCAGGGTGGAGCAAGGCCACATGGCCCCTCTGGCCAACACAATCTGAGAGACAGCTGATGCTGTCCCCATTTCACAGGTGAGGAAGTTGAAGCACAGAGATATGGAACAAACAGCTTGGCAAATTTCAGGGAGTATGAAGAGTCACCTATCTGTGAATAGATGGTGTGACTGTCTTTTAGGCTGACCTCAGAGGTCCCTTCCTCAGAAGACCCACCCCCCTTCATTTATTCATTCATTCTAGAAGTATTTGTTCCATGAAAGACCATGAAGGACAAGGTCTTCTCCAACCCTCCCTGATCAGACAGCTGCAGGTTATTGGAGTCAGGCTGCTCCATCTGACACAAGGGGTGGCTCATGGAGGCGAGAGAACTGGCGGGCCACACCACATCCCTGCAAACCCAATTCCCTAGTCCCAGCATCACCCGTGGGCTATCCACAGATCCCCTGAAGCCATGACTTGCCCTCGGCCTGACTTTCTCAGACAGAACCCCTGGCCTTGGTAGACTTTGTACCCACTGAGCACATGCTTCCTTTGCCCCTTGGCAGCAGGTCAGCTCTGTCCCTGCATGCCTTGTGAGGCTGTTTGCTAGGACCCAAGGCATCAGTGGAAGACTCACTCACCCTGCGTGCCATGTACATGCTCTGGGGCCGCATCCTCCCAGGGTCCCCCACAACCTCCCAGGAGGAAGCAACCAGTGACCCCGTTCCATGGGTACAACATGTGCAAAGGATACTGTTTTAAGGAATTGTCTCTTTGACAGGTGGCAGGAGGCAAATGGCCCCCAAGGGTAGAGTAGAGCAGGCTCAGGCTACATCGGGAACTGGCTGCAGGAGGACTGGGAGAAAATCCCATGTTCTGCCTCCTCCAGAGGAGCAGTTGGCCCTCAGTGGGGAGCAGGAAAATCCAGTGGAGGGAGTTCTGCAGCCACTGGGCCTTTGTGGAGGTGACGAGGGGCCTTGCTACCTCGGGAGGAATGCTAGGGCCTGAGGCTGGTGCACCCGGGCCCAAGAGTGAGGCAAGTGAGCAGACCCAGGTTGGTGGGGCCTGAGCTGAAAATTGAGTAGAGGTGCTCCAGGGGACGAGAGTCCAGGGGCTCGCTGGGTGATAGGTGCAGAAAAGGAACAAACCACAGCATGAACCTTCAGTTCCCAGGTAGGGCAGAGGAAGGATGTGGGAAAAGATCCCAATGGAGGGAGCCGGGAGGGCTGAGGGGGGAACAGTCAGTGGCCGGTGATCTGCCCAGGGAAGGGCCTTAGTCTAAGTTGATGTCAGTCCCAGGGGTCCGTGTGGCTTGGCGTGAGTGTGTTTGGGCATGATGAGGGGCAGCAGGACTTGTCTGTGTGGGTGTGGTGGTTAGTGGTGTGTGCAAACAGGAGGGGCCAGCATAGAGCTCCAGAGGGCCTCCTGAGCCCCTGGGACCCTCCTTAACACCCCTCAAAGTGCTCTAAAACAGAGCATTTTAAGGTCTTATACTTTCCAGCTATCTTAATGGATTTATTTTGAGTTACTTCTGTTCTTTACTAGCATTTTCTTTCACATACAGAAGTGGATGTTCACAACTGTAGTTACCTCTTGGGGTCTGAACCTCACATGTTATCTACACCACAATTCACACACACATGCATGTGTCTGCATACACATACGATCACACACAATCACATGTGTGCACTCACACACCCGCTTGTGTTCTTCTTCCCTTCTCACAGCCTGACTTTGGGCTCTTGGCTATAAAGAGCTTTGAGTATATTGATCCTGGGCTCTTTTACAGATTTTAAATGGCATCCTTTCTGAGAGGATCCAGGGTCACAGGACTGCTTTGATGTCCTGTCTTTCCTCTTGTTAGCAGCTTCATCACATCTTTGGGTCCCCAAGCAGTGTACCTCACTCAGTAATTATTTTGGTGCACATGATTTGTGTAATTATTGATCTGTCACTGGGCTGTAAACACTTTGTGACTCCCCAAGTGTTTCTTGGGTACCTGAGCCTTGCACCTTGGGCCGGCCCCTGGAGCAACTTCTAGACATTTTTTGTTTGTTTGTTTGTTTTTTGGTTTTTTTTTTGAGTTGGAGTCTCACTCCGTCACCCAGACTGGAGTGCAGTGGCCGCTCCTGGCCACTGCAGCCTCGCCTGCTGGCCTCCGGTGATCCTTCCGCCTCAGCCTTCCCAGTAGCCGGAATTACAGGCGCGCGCTACCACACCCGGCTCATTTTTGATTTATTGTAGAGATGAGGTCTCGCTGCCCAGGCGCGTCACGATAGACATGTTTAAGAGCCTGTCTGCAGGGACCCAATGGGGCTTTCAGGTGACTTGGGACTGAGGGCCTCCAGGGTGTGTCCAAAGCGGACCCTGGGATAAGGCGGGAGCTCTGTCCAGGAAGAGGGTGTTGGTGGCCTGGGGCCAGGCATTGTCTATGTCCCCAGGGCTGGAAGCCCCCTCTCTGTCCCCAGCAGCAGTGGTGGGCGGACAGGAAGTGAAACATTACCTCATCAGGACTAAAGGGAACAGGCATCCCGTTTCCTGCTGTGAAGAAGGAAAACCCAGTGGCTGGCAGGAAATCCCCAAGCTGCAGAGGAACTCATTTCCCCTGCCGTGGTTGGTTGGTTGTCAAAGGCTGTTCCTGAGACTTCTCCCCTGAGTCACTCACCATTTTAAAAACTCAGGGATTCAGACCAATAGCAGATATCTCTCATACCCAGCACCTGTGGGATGTCACCTCTTGCCCAGGCTGCCCATCGGGTGGGCAGCTCTAGTTAAAGCTGGAGGTGTCAACTCAGCAAACAGTCACCCAGCCACCCCAGGCATGCCTCCATCCATGGGGACAGGCACAAGGATAAACACACATCACCTAGCGTACAGGATTCCCTACTTGGTGGGAAGATGGATTTCGGGGGTCAGGAGGCACCCTGGAGGCTGTAGAGGTACCAGGAGGAGTGACCCCTCTGCCTAGGATGGCCAGGGGGCTCAGAATTCCAGGCAGTCCCCCCTCCCCGCCCTCTTCCTGAGTCCATCTGGCCTCAGTGTCTCCATCTCCAGCTCTTTCTTCCCTCAATCCACCCCAGGCTCTTCTGTGCTGCCCACCTGCCAAGCACCTTGCCTGGAAATTGGCATTTCCTTCCCTCTGTTGCCTTCAGCCTGCTGTGACTGCCCTCTCCACCCTACCCATGCCTCCTCCACCCCATCCACACTTTCTCCACTTCTCAACTCTAAGCAGTAACCAAGTCTCACTTGGGGTTATCCCCCCCTTCTCCTGCCATTCCCCAGCCCTCCTCCTGGGTAGGCAGTTAGTGCAGACCCAGTCCCCACCCCATCCACTCTACAGTGGATGCCCCTTATTCCCACAGCCCCCCAGACCCTTGGCCTCATGGTGCCTGAGACTCACCATGGAAACAGCAGCATCCCCCATCCCCTGCCCGGCCCTGCCATGTCACCATGGGGGTCATTATTGCACCACCATCCCCCAAGTTGCTTGGACAGAAACTTTGATGCTGTCCCTCCTCTCTCTGTTCAGTCCCTTATGGGCCTCCCATGACACTGCTCTGCTCTGTACCCTCCTGCTCATCTCCCAGGCCCTGCTCAGCTCAGGCCCTGGCCTCTCTCATCTGAAATATTGTCACTACCTCTTCACCAGCGTCACTCTTCAGTCCTCCCTCCACACCAGGGTCAGAGATCTAAAAGCCCTATCTGTCGTGCCTTGCCCCTCGTCAAAACAGACCAAAGGCAGTGTGGATCCTGTTGCCATAAAGCCTTACCCACACCGGAACCCCTGTGGCAGTGGCCCAGTGGTCCCATTTGCCCGGGGACCCTGTGGACCATGCACGGCCACTCCCCCTGCCAGGTGTACCTATGGGTCCCTCTCCACAGAATCAGTTTCCTGGGGTGCTGTACAAATGACCACAGACCCAGGCAGTTTAAACAGCAAACATGTACTTACTCACAGTTCTGGAGACTAAAGCCTAAGTTCAGGGTGTCTGTGAGCTGTTCTGGTGATGTGTAGGCAATCCTCAGTGTTCCTTGGCTTGTGGGCTCATCCTCCAGACCTGGCCTTTGCATTCAGATAACTCTCTCCCTGTGTGTTTATCTGCATCCAAATAGCCCCTTGTTTAGAAAGACACCAAGGATACTGCAGTAGGGCCCACCGGCTCCAACATGACCTCCTTTATTTTTTTGAGTTGGGGTCTCACTCAGTTGTCTAGGCTGGAGTGCAGTGGAACAGTCATGGCTCACCACAGCCTCCAACTCCTCAGTCCTGCATTGCTGCGACTACAGGCATGTACCACCATACCCAGCTAATTTTTGTAATTTTTTTTTAAGAGGTGAGATCTCTTTATGTTGTCTAGGTTGGTCTCAAACTCCTGGGCTCAAGCTATCCTCCCACCTTGGCCTCCCAAAATGCTGGGATTACAGGCGTGACCCACCGTACCGGGCCCCAACATACTGCCTCTTAACCAGTTCTGTCTGCATTGACCATACTTCCAGATAAGGTACCATTCAGAGGTTCTGGGATTAAATATGTATTTTGAAGGGATACACTTCAACCCCTAACACTCCCAACCTTCAGGGTCCCCAGCTGACATGGATGACCCTCCCCTACCCCCCACAGCAGCAAGTGGATCAGGAGCCATCATCAGCTTGGGTGTTAGGCAGTTTGCTCGCCTCCGAAGCTAGGACACAGTGTACATATCTCTGTGACACCCCCTCCCCACCAGCCGCAGCACCGCCTTTGGTCCAAGCAGCCCTGGCAGATGGTGTTTCATGTCTGCCTCTGTGTGTTGTGTGATGTCTCATCCTGAGTCCCTGAGGACAGAGGTCGCCCTGTTGGCTGTGACCCTTCAGCATGCAGGCTGACTGTCAGGGCAGGGCCTGCAGGGTGGGCTCCTGCTGGGAGCCGCCAGGCCTTGTTCTTCTTACTCCTTCTTCATCCCCAGGAATGCGCCGCCACCTCTTGCCGCGTCTCTGGCCCACGCAGCAGTCTCCCAGCTGCTACAGACAGACCTTTCAGAATTCAGGAAGGTGCCCAGGCAGGAGGAGGAGGAGGACGATGAAGACGATGAGGAAGAGAAGGCCCCTGTGACCTGTGAGTTCTCTTTCCTCTGAGATGGCCTGGGGGCTGCTTAGCAGATGACAGACAGTGGGTGAGCACATTGTGGGGAGCATGTTAAGCCGGGCCACTAAGGGTACAGGATGTGCCTTCATGATGGCAGCAGAATCAAGGTGCAGAGAAGGCATGATGCACCAGTGAGGTGGAGAGTGACAGTAGGTGCATGAGGCAGGATGGGTGGGGGCAGGCACACTCCATTGTACCAACTCACTGAAGTTCCAGAACAACCCAGGAGATGAACAATGCTTGTCCCATTTCACGCATGCAGAAGCCAAGGGACAGACTCCCAATCATGTGGCTGGCATCAGGTGCACTTGCTAATGAAGCTCACTAACATGCCCCAGACGGGCAAGGTCAGAGCTGGCAGGTGACACACCAGTGGGCTCCCGGGGGCCACACATTGTCCAGATGGTAGGAGATGCCACAGCTCAGGACCCTTCCTCAAATGACCCAAGTTAGGCCCCTATTGGGTGTAGACACTTTGTGATGGGAGCTGGAGGAACCCAGAAACTGGGAACAGGGAGGAAATGGTGAGAGGCCTGCAGAGAAAGAGCAGGGCTCTGGTTTCCTGTGACTTTCTTTCATTTTCCTATTAATTTCTTTTTATTGTACTTCACCAAAGTATAGATTCATGTTTGACCAGAAATACAGGGAGAGCCCCAGACTGCAGGGGGTGTCAGGAGGGTGGGAGCATCCTCCCCCGCAGAAAACTCCCCCTGGACAAGCCGCCTGTGGGTTTTCTCACCTTTGCCATTTCCTCCTGGCCATATTACTTCAAATTTAGCATTTTGAGTGCAGCTAACTGGGAGGAAAGCGAGAAGAAGCCTGCAGGAAGCCTCCAGCGGCAGGAAGTGCTGGCGTCCTCCTGGCCTTGGTCCCCTGCCCTTCTCCCTGGCTCCCTGCCTGCTCCCTGGTAGTGCAGCCTCGCCTTCCGCCTGGGAGACAGCTGTCCGTAGTGACAAGCGACCATTGTTCTCTGCAGAGCCAGCAGGCTTCTGGCCAGTGGCAGCTTGCAGCTCCTGGCTCTATAGCCCCACAAACGAATCACCCTCACCTCCCACCCGAGCCCTGCCCAGCCTGTCCAGGCAGGAGACAGAGTCATCTGCTGGTGGGGTGGGGAACTGCCACAGCTGGTGCCAGCCTAGCTTGCACCTGGAACTCCGTAGGGTCTGTGCAGGAGGGAGAAACACAGCTAGAAAGAAATCTCCCAGCCCCTGCTCTCCTGGTCTGTGGAGAGCCTGCCTCATGTAGGCCTGGCCGTGGTCTTGATCACGGAGCAGAATGTAGTCGAGTCTGTAGCCTCCAAGCCATTCTTCAGGGCAGGGATTGTGAGAACCACTGGCTCCTCCATGTGGCCACCACCCCCTCCCCAGGGATTGTGATCAGAACAAAGGACAGAGTCCCAGGAGCAACTCCCAGGGCACTGGCCTGCAGCCCTCAGCCTCAGGAGTCTGTGGGGCCTTTGTCTGAGTGTTGTGGGATGTGTTGTTTGTTGCTACATAACAAGTTGCCCCCCAAAAATAGTGGTTCAAAACAACAGACATTTTATTCTCTCACAGTTTCATGGGCCTGGAACTAGGGAGCGGCTTAGCTGGGTGGTTCTGGCCCAGGCTCTCTCACAATGTTGTGCACTGGAGGGTCCACTTCCCAGGAGGTTGAGACACACGGCTGTGGGTAGGAGGCCTCAGTTCCTCCCTGTGTGGGCTCTCCGCGGGGCTGCCTGAGCATCCTCATAGCTTGAATCTGGTGGTGGAAGGGAAGGAGGAAGAAGTGTAGAGAGAATGAGAACACACATGAGGTAGACATCACAGTGCCTCATGCTGTTGTCAGAAGCCGTCTTCAGTTACTTGGACACCTTCCACCCCTCCCGGGGACTCATCTATACCTACCATGTTCATCTGTACCTGCCATACTCACCTATACCTGCCACATGCACCTGGACCAGCAGGGGTCCCAGAAGGGGCTTGTGCGTTGAAATCAAGTGAGTCCCTGAAGACAAGCCCCTGAAAAGAACTAAGTCCCATACTCAAGGAGAGGGAGTTGAGTGCCACATCTCTAAAGAAGTAGCACAGGATTTATGGACATATTTTAAAGCCACCATGTAGGCTAACACTTGTAGTGGAAAATTGAGAGGTGTTTTAAAAGTATACTTAAGGAACAAGTTGCCCATAGAGCCAGCACCTGCAGACACCCACTGCTGAATTTTGGTCATGTACTGTTCTGCCTTTTTTTTCTGGGCCCAAGTGGTTTTTCATGTACTTGTGATTAAACAGCATATGTAAGTTTCCATCCTTCTTTATTCACTTAGTATTATAGCATTAGCATTTTGTGTGCTTGTAAACTTGGTAAAAGTTCATTTTTGTCTTTTAATTTTTGTTTTTGTTTTGTTTTGAGTCAAGATCTCATTCTGTTGCCCAGGCTGGAATGCAGTGGTATGATCATGGCTTGCTGTAGCCTTGATATCCTGGTCTGAGGCAATTCTTCCTCCTCAGCCTCCTGAGTAGCTGAGACTACAGGCAAGCACCACCACGCCTGGCTAATTTATTTTATTTATTTATTTTTTATAGACACGAGATCTCTCTATGTTGCCTAGGCTGGTCTCGAACTCCTGGCCTCAAGCAATCCTCCCACACCCATGTTGCCTCCCAAAGTGCTGAGATTACAGGCATGAGCCACTACATCCAGCAGTTTTGTTTTAATTAAGCTTTTTGTTTTGGGTTAATCATAGTAGCATGTATAGTTATAAGAAATAATGCAGCCGGGTTCGGTGGCTCAGCCTGTAATCCCGCGCTTTGGGAGGCTGAGGTGAGTGGATTGCCTGAGCCCGTGGGTTCGAGACCTCATCTCTACAATAAATCAAAAAAATCAGCCGGGTGTGGTAGCGCATGCCTGTAATTCCAGCTACTTGGAAGGCTAAAGCGGACGGATCACCGGAGCCCAGCAGGTCGAGGCTGCGGTGGCTGGGAGCGGCCACTGCACACCAGTCTGGACGACAGAGTGAGACTCCAACTCAAAAAAAAAAAAAAAAGAAAGAATGCAAAGAGATCCCATATACACTTTACCCAAGTTCCCAGTGGTGACATTTTGCAGAACTATAATAAAAATATCACAACCAAATTTTTTTTTATGAAGCAATGTCTCACTCTGTCCCTTAGATTGGAGTGTAGTGGTGTGATCATGGCACACTGCAGCCTTGAACTCATGGCCTCAACTGATCTTCCCATCTTGAGTGATCCTCCCACCTCAGCCTCCCAAAGTGCCGGAATTATAAGTACGAACCACTGAGCCCGACCCAGGATGTTAACATAGTCAAAATACAGAGTCATTCCATCCATCACCATCAGGATCCCTTATGTCACCCTTTTATGGACACCTAACACCCCCACTACCTCCACATACCCTCATCCCTGACTGTTGGCTCCAACTACTAGTCTCCATTTCTATGATTTTATCATTTCAGAAGGCATATAAATGGAATCATCATATGTTACTCTTGAAGATTGACTTTTTTCTGGCAGCATAATTCTCTGGAGATGAACCAAGGTTGTTTTGTACATCAGCCGTTCATCCCTTACTGCTGCTGAGTAGTACTCTAAGGTGTGGGTGGACCACCATTTGTTTAACCATTCACACACTAAGGGACATCTGGACTGCTTATTCCAGAGAAAGCTGCCGTGAACATTTGTGTACAAGTTTTTGTATGAACATAGTCTCTAATTTTCTGGAACAAGTACCTAGGAGTGCAATTGCTGGGTTGTATGGTAGTTGCATGTTTAATTTTGAAAATCGCTTTCAGTAGCTGCTTAATCCCTTATCAAGAGATTCTATCATAATTTAATTATCATTCCTTTGTCATTGCATATATATTTTTTCTAATTAATGGGCAGGTAGAAATGATCCTGTACTTTGTCCTTAAATCATTTTTGCATTTTCTTAGGGTGGGATTCCATGAGTGGGGTTGCTCCATGGTAAGATGGGAGACTTCTTGGGATGTGTTATCAAACCAGACATTTCTGATCTTACAACAGGCTGTCATGAGTAGTTTGTTAGGTTGGTGTCTCAGAATGCCCCAGGGCTGGTGGGGTTGTCTTAGAGAGCTCAGGGGCAGTAGGAAAGGGGGAGACAAGCCGGGAGGACTCAACTAGCTGGCTGGTACTTCCCTGACAATCCCTCCATCATGCCCATCAGTGCTGGATGCCCAAGGCCTGGCACGGAGTTTCTTTAACCGGCTCTGGGAAGTTGCCAGCCAGTGGCAGAAGCAGATGCCATTGAGAGCCCAGATCCCACAGCAGCAGTGGCTGGTCTCTATCCACGCCATCCGGAACACTCGCCGCAAGATGGAGGACCGGCACGTGTTCCTTCCTGCCTTCAACCAGCTCTTTGGCTTGTCTGTGAGTGCTCCCCCTGCAGGGCCCTGGGGACAGCTTGGGGGACTAGAGCAGGGATGGGCCACACAGGCACCAAGAAGAGCTGCCAAGTCCTAGGTAAGAGAGACACTCGTCAGCTGTCATCCCAAGACTGGCTGCAGGCAGCTCTTAGAGCACTTCCTGGGGGACCTGAGAGGCCCAGTTCCTCGTCCAGCACCATTGGGTCAGGGCAGCTGCCAGGCCCCAAGCTTTCCCAGCAAGGAACTGAAGAAAGGCAGCAGTTTGCCTGAGTCTGTTCTAAGGCCAGGCCCCAGATGCCATATTTGCTCGAGTCCTGGGGCATCTCCCCTCATTTTATGCTTGTAGCTTCTCAGTAGGGATGGTGAAACCAGGGCTACCAGGGTGTCCTTTTCCAAATCTCCTGGCTCATAAGCATATGAGCCAGGTTTCCCTGTCTGATGGCAAAGGCCACACCAATTCACATGAAGCCAGCGAGTCTCTGACACCCATGCTCCCCCACCAGGACCCTGTGGACCGTGCATACTTTGCTGTGTTTGATGGTCATGGAGGCGTGGACGCTGCAAGGTATGCTGCCATCCATGTGCACGCAAATGCCGCCCGCCAGCCAGAGCTGCCCACAGATCCCACAGGAGCCCTCTGTGAAGCCTTCCGGCATACTGACAAGATGTTTCTCAGGAAAGCCAAGCGAGAGGTGAGGAACAACAGCTGGGCCTCAGGTGCAGTTTAGAGACTGGTAGTCATTAGTATTAGTAGCAGAGTCCTGGCCTCTGCAGAGGGAAGGAAATGGAAGGGGTTGATGGTGCCAGAGGGTCCCACTAAAAATCCTACTGGCAATCTCGTCATTTCTTCTTACAGTAAGGAGGGCTTGTTTCTCATTGCCCCAATGCAGCAGGCTGGGCCCCTCAGCACTATGGACCTACCCCACCACAGAGGGTCTGCAGGCCGCATGGGAAAGAGCAGCTTGTTTTTAAATATTCTTAGAAATGTATTTGAACCAAGTATGGCAAGATGGTACACACAGAGACCAGTGCCTTGAAACAGAGTTTATTACTCACAGTTCCCAAGAGGAGGGGGCATACCATGCCACAAGGGGACCATGGGAAAGCAGGCAGAGAGGAGGGCAGGAGTCTAGTAGGGGAGAGGGAATCTTGGCCAGGGCCTTCTCTGCAGCCTCCTCAGGCATTTGCCATCTCTAAGAATCCACTGGTCCTGAGAGATGCAGTCTCTCCGGAATCAGCAAGGCCCCAAGATGTCAAAACATTAGAATACAGAAAATGGAAAGCATGACTAACACACTGACCCACCTCGCCTTCATCTTCTGGGCAGCATCTCAGTAAGCTGCTGGTACCCTCTGGAAGTGTGCCTTCCTCAGGAGCTGTAGCCACATGCAAGGATGAGCCATTTGTTTCTGAAAGAAAAGAACAAAAGAACACAGGCAGAGGAGGCCCCTCTGTGAACTCACTCCCTCTGAACCTCACCAGCAGAATTTCACTGGGCCCTCCCAGCAGCCTCATGAGGTGGACACTAATATATGCCCGTTTTAGATATTGGGCAGCTGAGTCTCAGGTTGCTTAAAAGGCCTACCCCTATGAGGAGACATCAGGGGAGAAGGACCTCGTCATCACACACTCTGAGCACAGACCTAATGAAAATCAGAGCCAGACTTTGCATCTCAGTAGAAAACTATGCAGTATCTACAACTGTAGAGGAGCCCAGCGAACAGCTGACAGTCCTCCCCTCCTGGTCACCATCACCTCCAGGAAGTGATAAGGACCTCCAAGCTCAGAGCAGATGTTTAATTTAGTGTCTTATTTTCTTTAAACACTTTTATTGAGATATAATTGATACATAGTGGGTTGCATATATTTAAAGTAAACAGTTTGTAAGTTTGGGCTTATACTGTATATATACCTGTGAGTCCCTCTCCACTGTGATGAACACATGCAACACCCAGAAGCTTCGTCCTGTGCTTAGTCATCCTCTCCCATCTCCCGTCCTTCCCCACCCACTCCCCAGACAGCCATGTACCAATGTTCTGTCTGCATTTTCCAGAGTCTGATATGAGTGGGACCCTATAGGACCAGCCCTCCCCTCATGCAGCATGGTCACTCTGAGGGCCATCCCTGCCTCATGTGGCTCTGCAGTTCAGCCCCTTTCCTGCTGGGTGATTCAGTCTGGACCATAGGTGCCTGCAGTGCGGGCACCCGGCCTGCCTATCCTGCTTCATCCCTCCTGGGCCTTCTTCCCTACAGCGGCTGCAGAGTGGCACCACGGGCGTATGCGCACTTATCACAGGAGCGACCCTGCACATTGCCTGGCTCGGGGACTCCCAGGTCATTCTGGTACAGAAGGGACAGGTGGTGAAGCTGATGGAGCCACACAGGCCCGAGCGGCAGGTAAGGACTCCCTCCGTCCAAGCCCAGGGCATTCCCAGGCCCCCATCATGTGGGACCCTCCACCCCAACAGGCAGCCCAGGGAGTGGGGTCAGCTCGGCCCAGTGCAGCATCCTGACATAAATGTTGCAGCCACGGGCTGTGGGTAAGGAGGGCCTCAGGAAGGTCATGCTGCACCAGGGCTGAAAGGGACCCAGCTCAAGGCTGTGTTGGGAAGAGGCTGCTGGAACCCAGGGACTCTGGGATCATACACCTGCAGAGGCTTGGGGTCCTCACCTAGACATGATGGTGATGTTCCTACTGGGACCACATATCACAAACGTCTAGGCCCTGTGTCTCCTGAGGGCAGGTAGCACGCATTTGAATACCAAGGAATGCCTTTGTGTCCCCCAAGTCCCTCCCTTCCCACATTCTGCTCTGCACCAGCTATTTTCACTTAACCTGCGCCCAGTGGGCACTTCCATGTCAGCACTTACGAGCTCTCGTCCCTTCCCAAGGCTGGACAGCCTCCACTCTTCATCTAGTCCCTTATGGATGGACATGGAGATTTTTCCAGCCTTTTGGTGCTAAAAACAATGCAGCAGTACATACTTATATACAGCATTATATTGTTCCAGGTCAAGTATATCTGTAGGACACATTCCCAGAAGTAGCACAGCTTGACTGGAACAGACACATGGACAGTCTTGGTAGATTTTCCAAGCTGCCCTCCCAGGCCATGCCTTCCTGGGCTGGTGCCACATGTCCAGAGGGTTCATTTCTGCATACCCCACCAGCCTGCAGGACTTGCCCATTGGAGAGGTAAGACAGTCACCTCAGGGCAGTTGTTGAATTTTCTTTTCTGTTACAGAGTGAGTTTGAGAATCTTTTTAAAAAATGTAAGATCGCCAGCCGGGCTCGGTGGCTCAGCCTGTAATCCCACGCTTTTGGGAGGCTGAAGTGAGTGGATTGCCTGAGCCCGTGG